CCTTCTTTATGGAGTTTTCCATATTCCTTAGATGTTTACGTATTCTCTCATGAGAAATATGCAATTTCAGGGCCATTTCACGAGTGTGTTACTTTGGGTTGGACTCAACAAGCGTCTTCAGAGCATCAATTTTAATTCCAACATGTCGGTCCTTACCATCACAATTTTTAAGGCTGTAGTCACCTGAATGAAATTTGCTGAACCATCGTTGACACTTACGAACGTTTAAAACATTTCTATTGTTGTTTCCCCTCATGTATTCAAACAGCATTACATGTCGAATGTGTGTCTCGTTGTGTGCCATCACTATAAGGGATTAGAGTATACTAAACTTTACACATTATAAAGTCTACACTAACGTGACGTTTAGACTGTTCTTTTAAGTATTATACGTGATGTACGTATTTTGGGGGGTGGTTAATGAAAGTGTTCCAAAACGCGACATTAATTTCTTGCCGATCTAATATTAAGTATGACTCCGTCATTAAGGAAGTTTCTTCATCAAATGTTTTTAATCAATGTGGTTCTGCTTTAGTTTTGAGGTGTTTGGAGTTAAGCCCAAAGCTATACAATGGGTTATCTGTGCTCTGCTCACTACGGGTATTGAAACACGGTTTCTAGCGTTGTAAGTCTGCAGACATATCGCTTTGTCACTGTTGGCTGAGCTGTTTGAGTGGTTGGCTAACCCTTGGTATTTCTTGTGCTCAGCACGATGGAGGTATTTGGGTAGGACTGCCTGTTTGAAATACAGTTACTGCTGCTATTGTTGCAGGCTTCTTTTTCTCTTACAAATATAACATATTTATATATTTTAAAACTCTGTTGCAGACTGGAATTCATCAATCCTCAAAGGCTCTGTGTGCACTGCAAAAAATTTATCCACCAAACCAATGAAAATAGAAAAAACGATTTCCACTGGCATTCAAGTGATTTCTTGGAGGTGTGACTTCTCTAATGTTTTATTGAGATATATCAGTCACATTGGTAGTGCTAGTTACGCTGGGCAAGTCTATGTTAACAAGTTTAGTAATCTAAGATATATTCACTCTTAAATAGGATCTTATCACATTTAGTATAGTATGAGCTTAGCTGAGTTAGTTGGTTTACAACATCACAGAAGACTTCATACTTAACACTCTAGTAAAGACAACTGTCCAGAATGACAAATAAAGCACAATTTCACTGTGTTTCAATAAAGACTGTGCATTGTAGTTGAGCATTTGTGTTCAGGTTTTCTATACTTCTTACGAACTCAGTCAGAAAATACAGAAGTCTTTTGCAGTAAATATCTTGCCAAATCTTCTGTTAACGTGTAGACATATCTTGTCACTCTCATGGAAAATAATTACTGTCTGAAAATGCTACTGAGTAGATAGAAAGGAAAAAATGTTGCAGTGACCATAGTATATATTACTGCAAAGTTTTATGTGTTTCGTCTGATCTGTGTATCGCCCATTACATATGTTTTTATGTATATAAGTTTTAAAAAGCTTCGTTTTTAGGAAATACCATTTTCTGCAGCTCAGAGGATTTACGATCAAGAGAGAGAGTTAATCACTGAAAGCAGATAGTCGTACGAGAGAGTTGGCAGGTCTAGGAGAATTTCTTTTGTGAATGCAGGACATTTTCCATTGCTTCAATGGTCTAAGACTTCTTTCTCATTGGGGATGATTACTTAGGAAGAGCTGTTTATATTTTGTGCACACATATTGGTTGATCAAGTTCTCTCTTAGTAGATCGACATAAGTACAAGGGAAGCATACATGAATGAGATTCGTTACAGCAATGTAGTGCCTTGCAAGTCTGAAATTGGATGGGATATTCTGTATAGGTCTCCCAGGACTTTGCCAGTCAGTGTAAATACATCCCAGTTCTAGTCATATATACTAGAAAATAGTTAAGAAAGACTGGAGATGCAGTTGGTGGCTGAAATTCACCAATAAATAATGGTGAAGATGGTCACTCATGACACAATAGAGAGCATCTTTGACCTTGGTGGTATCGTGCCATGGCAATAATGGATCACAGGGAAGGCTGGGGTCGAGTAGAATTGATAACTGAGATGCCAAGAAAAACTCACCATTTTAACCCTCTATTAGGAACAGCTTACACTGGCTAGAGTTGGAGTTCCTAATGATATCTACTACCTGTACCTGCAATATTGATAACATTTTAGCCAGGCGATAACCAAGAGTTTATATGGATGAGGTTTTGGTCAAATCACATATTCTTTATAATCAGTGAAACAAATCAATTACACCCCTGATGACCAAGGGTACCACCAAATAAGACTTGGACCATTTCTTGAAGTGTTTTTAGTAGGCTACTGCCTGAAATGGTTGGTATACAGAACAGGCCATCCAACACTTGGTTTTTAGTTTGGATGATCTAGTCCTTCACTCCATCAAGCAGCTGTGTCGTGTGCAACTTTAGGACTGTTTGACAGTCATTAATGACTTGTGCCAATAGTTAAACTCAGTGGAAAATCAAGCTATCTATCGCTCGAGTTCAAGGCTTGGAAGGGACCATTTTTGTGGATGATTTGCTCCATCTGAATTGGAAGATGGCCTATGTAGATAGAAAAGATAACTTGGTTGGTGGATAAGTTTATCGACGAACTTCCTAGAAAAACAATAAGACATTCTCTGAATGCTAGAATTGTTTTCACTCTAACAGAGGCAAGTTCTGTTGCAACAAAGTAAGAAGGAACTGTATTTCAGACAGACTGTCCTTCCCAGGTACCTCCACCGCGCTGAGCATGAATCATACCAAGGATTAAACAACTACTCAAACACCTTAATATTGCAGCACAGCCACACTGGTATCCAATAAACTAGCAGGGCTATTTCAGTCTTCCTATGGTTTACATGCCGCAGTCTATATCAGTAATGCCTCCAACTTATAAAATGAACTGCCCATGCCTTGCCAACACCAAGTAGTAAATGCTGCTGTTTCAGCTAAAAACAAACAAACAAACATCAGAAAAAAAAGAAAGAAAGAAACTCACTGGCCACTAACTTGGGGGAGTGTGGCTGTCAACTTGTGTCAGAAAGTTTGATGGTCGGCCCAGTTCTCTCAGGGCTGGGTGGAGCTTGGTAAATTCCTGTGAAAGGACAAGGACGAGAGACTGCGTTGCCGGTAGACATAGGAACAGCCAGAACAGTAGATTACAGCGTCCCGTTGACATATATATATCGTGTAACTGTATGTTGAACGAGCAGAAAACTACAAATACTTTGCTTTTTTAAACGAAATATAGCCAAATAAGTAAAGTAAGATGAAAAGGGTTTTGACATTTAAAAAAATGCTCCCCATTTTCAGCTAACTTATTTTGATTTATTTGTTCGTCTGTATAAGCAAAAATCTACACAACTGAATATCTGTTCTCTGCCCACCGCAGGTATCTAAATCCGATTTTTACCGTTACAGGCCCTCATACTTGTCGTTGAACCACCGGGATGGAGTGTGGTGGCTTATTTTCGATGTATGAATTTTATATCAATTTTTGTACGTGAAAATTGTAAAGCTTGTTTGTTTGTTTGCAGTTAAGCTCAAAGCTACACAAAGAGCTGTCTGTGCTCTGCCCACCACGGGTATCGAAACCCAGATTCTAGCATTATACGTCCGCAGACATACCACTGTGCCATTGGGGGGCAATTGTAAAGTATATATTTGACATTTATTAGTCTCGGGAAGAATAAATAATGTTCGTCACATTATACACCTATTATATAAATAGCATGTTATCAGACGTAATTTTCCACATTAAAAAAAAAAAGCAAACATTTCGACGCAATAATCTTATTCCCGTAAACAACGTGTTTTTTTTAAAATATATTTATTGATATGCAATTTATCATTAGAATAATTCACGTGTTTTTTATTTTCATGAATTTCATTTACTTTCGAATGTATTAACAGCAGACTACTTTATTTTCTGTTCACGGAGATTAACACTACAAACCAGTTACTTAGTTCGGGTGAAGTTTTACTATAAATAGTGAGATGAGATTTATGCTTTAAACTATTCATCTTTTTGCATGTGAGTACTTAAAAATCTTCGTATGATGATAATTTAATCAGTTAATGGTTATAGTGTAACTTCTTTCCAGTGCTTGAACATAATTCATTCTATACCTTCTCAATACTAATTTACTATAGTCTCACACAAGTTACGTTGTTACTGTTAGTAATTCCAACCTAATCACTAACTTTTAGCGTTATTCAACTTATTGCCTTATAAGCTTAGATCTTTTCATTTAGCTAAATGCTCATAAAAGATTAGAATTAGAAATGCCCATGTCCAGATGTGATATGTGCATGCATGATAAATTGACTAGTGAGAATAATGGAGATTCAAAACTTTACATGACGTGCTAAGTTTTTTATAATGTTATCCATATGTAAATGTACTGAGCTAACAGGTCAGGTTTATATAAAACTGACAAATATTTCCTACGAGCTTAGTCTAAGAATTTTATGGTATGTATATAGTAATTTATATAAATTAGAAAGTAGTTTTGGGTTTAGTCGTATGTTATCATTAATCTCACCTAAAATGTTCGATGACATTTGATGGACTTCACATAGATGTTCTCTGAATGGTTAAGAATACCATATCCATAAATTAATTGTGTGTACAACTATAGTTGAAACATTTTTGTTTTGATGGTTCTCAGTCTCATGTTGTTTGAGGTTTGATTTGTTTTGAATTTCATGCAAAGCTATATGAGGGCTATCTGTGCTAGCCATCCCTAATTCAGCTGTGAAAAAGTAGAGGGAAGGCACCCACTGCCAATTCTTGGGCTGCTCTTTTACAAAAAATATTGGAATTTACTGTCACATTATTATGCCTGCATGGCTGAAAGAGCAAGCATGTTTGGTGGGACTGAGAGATGAACCAGTGACCTGCAAATTGTGAGTTGAACAACTTAACCATCTAGCTTTATTGAGGAGTGCTGGAAAATATTTTTGAAATTTCTTCAGTAGTGTTTGATAAGGCCGTCAGACTTTAAGCAGTCAGTAGACTTACTATGTATGCACTTTATAGACAGATCACTAATTTTTGTAAAATATGTTTTTCTTGTCGATATAAGATTAATTTTTTTTTAATTTTGTAGTAATTTAGATTATGTTGACCTTTTGATGAAAATGAATGCTGGTATGTGATTTTTCCATTACAGATATTAAAGATGTCAAAATCTCATATGCAGTAACTTTGTTGTCATCATTCACATATTTCATTGGCCCACATCTCGCTCACTTACGTTTATACAAATATGAGTTTTGCATCAGTGAGTGCAGTTGTACTGCATGAAAATCCTAATTTAATGAAAAAATGTTGTGAAGTTTTGAATGAAGAATGGAAAAGAAGTGAATCAGCCAGGTATATTAATTTTAGCTCTCTGTTAGTATATTGAAGATTTGCTGATTAATTGTATTTAGACACCTAATTTGAAATGTTATTGAACAAATTTTGTGGCATTCAATCTTCATCTAGGCTAGAAGATTAGTACAAATTTACAACTTTTTATATCCTGTTTATGAGAACACCAACTATCTAAATGGGAAACACCTGCATGAAAATTTAGAAAGATTTACCTAAGTACATCTAAACAAAAATATATTCTTTACGGTTATGAAAGAGTGAATTTATAAGTTACATAACATTATTTTACAGGGAATTATTAAGTATTAATATAAAGATATTGATGCAGTTTGTTATTTGTGTTTATTGTATTTCAAGATGTTTAATCTTTTAATTATTTGTATCATGGTTTTGTGAGAAAGTGAATGCAATAAATTAGACTGTGAGCAGCATGTGACACATGAGCCACAGTTTGGCCATTTATGCAGCTTTTATGGTAGAGTGAGTACTGTTGTATATTTTCTAAGAAAGCATATAATTTAAATCAGCTTTTCAAGATAGGGCTCAGACCTTTTATGGTCTTTTAAAATCTATCATGAAAAAAAGCTTTTTTATGCTACCTTACAGCAACATACCTGTTCATTTACTGGAAATGACTTACTTATAACAATATCAACTGGTAAATGACAGATATATAAAGTATTCTAATAAAAACAATTTTGTATTTAAATAGCTAAATTATTTTTATTCAATAAAATGATGTATAGAAGAACCTACTTTATAAAGTTTTATGTTTTTGAAAAATTATATTGATGACTTAGGTTGATAGATTTCCAGTTTTTAAAGTAACATTTTTCTAATTTCTTTTTATATTTTGTCAAAAATGTTTAAAATAAAGTGAAATTTTACTGCAGCATAGTAAACATTAAATCACCACCATTTCAATGATTATTCTTTTATTTTTTTTATCAAATTCAGTAATGTTTAAATTATTTCCAAAGAGATGAGGTTTAGGAATACAACTTTCAGTGGCATGTATAAATACTAACATGCTACAAGTTTACTGATCAGTAGATTTGCAAGAGTTTTTATATTGTATTGGAAGGACTTAGTGTAAATATACCAGTGTTTTACTTTTAGCTAGTAAAGTTGTTTATACATGCATCTTTTTTTTTGACAGATCAATATACTTAACATCACACTTGCCCTTTCAGCTATAGCACTGCTCAAGTTGTATAGACTTGCACATTTTCAAAACAGCATATGTTGTAATGTGAAAAAATGGAACAAACTGTCAGAAATCTCTGAAAGATAACATGAGACTGAAGAGGACACATGAATGTGTCGAAACTAGTTTCTCTGATATCAGACTTCTGACATTTTTTTCACTAATTGCTACTCACGAGATTGTGTTATTTTATTATTATTATGATGTAATGTATTAAACAACTAACTACTTCCAGGGTAATAAAAAAAATGTTATTCACTGTACAAGCTAAACAAATTTCAGCAATTAATAAACTAATGCTTGGTTAGGATTTTTTGTAGCTAAATATTTCAAAGACAGAAAGGAAAAACATTGTATTTTTCAATATCAAATCACATATTATAATGATGCATTAGAAAAAAAGGCCTACAGGAAGAAAAACCTCATTCATAAGATTGCATGAAAGAATAATTAATGATATTGAACAGTTCTAAGGATTAACATCAAATCACAAATAATAAGCAAGTATCTGCAATAAAATTGTCACTTGAAATAATCAACAAACATATATATATTGTTACGTAACTGCTTGTTTGGTAATTTTCGGTACAAATTATCTCCGAGGAACTTCAGTGATACAAGTCCGCTCTTGATTAAACCAGTTTATGCTTTATTGATACAAACTTTTAGTACACAGTGATTCCACAGTCAGTACTTTTCTCATCACTTCAAGCTTAATAACTTTTATAATACACGCTATAAATCACAGTGATTCACAATCTCGATAACTTCACTCTGTAGTGCAAAACACACACTAGCTCGAAACAGAATTGTAAATTACACAAAACTTACCGTGACTACTGCTCACTTTATCATACATTCATTCATGCAGGCTTTCTCTACCAGGCTTATATACAAAGAGGCATCTCTCGATCACACTCGAGCTTCCCTGAAAATTCGAGAAACTCAGTCACGCATGCTTCCAGCGTCACGTGACTTCCACTATTGTAACAATATCTTGCCTATCATTTAGTCTTATTGCTTTTACAAGTCTTTCTTATTTTCAGAGCAAACTTTTTTTTTTCCCAGACCATCACATTACATATTACATGACTAACAAAGTAACATTTTTTTTTGTTTTACCCAACCATACTTGAACTTGCTACATCATGGCTAGGGGATAATTTTATTTTTGTAACAGGATGATTGGCTTATGTAATGAGTTATTGTAAGCAGTAGTGAAGGCCAGGACTTCCCAGTAGTTTAATAGAGAAACCAGAGATTTCCTGAAAAATAAAGGGTGGTGTTTTATTGCATCAAGAGTGTTTTCAAGAACATACTTAAAAGACCAAATAGTCCATTGTTGTCTTTATGTTATAACTCAGATGCATATATGTAAGACATCAAACACTGCCAAGATTTAAAACTTTTTATTGGATATATTCTTCTGCAGTTATCAGTGGGCTGATTGATGAAGAAATGGAGTTGGTATAACAATACCCAGTATGGTTTTTTTCAACCTGTCTAGAACAGTTTACATTGTAAAGTAATTATAACTGATTAATGTTTAAGTTTAAAAAAAACTAGTCCAATTTATGGTTATTAACGTACAGTTATATCTAAGTTTTCTTGCATCTTATACATCCATACTTGTTAATTATGCTAAAAAAATGGATGTGGTTAAGTTATAAATAATTATAATGAAATATGAATTTTGTACCAAATGCTTAAGTTGCTTGATTTTCAACTACTGTAGTTTTCAGTCACTTGGTTTCTGGTTCTTATTATAATCAAAATAACCCAAGAGTCTAAAATGGATCAAAATAAGTTATAAAAGAGAAGCCAGTTCAACAACAGTAACAATAATAAATATTATAATTATGTATGTACCATGACTATTTTATTTAATTGTACCAATATATTCAAGTATTCTACGTGATGACTCAACGATGTTGATCTTGAGCCTTTTTTTTATAAACCAAAAACCTTCTTCCTCATTTGGCCATTAACTTTTGAACTACATTAAGTCCATCTTCAAAAAAAAACAAACTTATAATGGCTTAAACAAATGCCAAATTTATATTTTAAAGCCTTAAAAATAATCTACCTTATGACTCAATGATGTTGAGTTCTCAGGTTCAAGGCAATTATGAAATAACATGAAATTGACTGTTAATACCAACAACAGATGAATTTCAGATGTGACTGAAATTCCTGTATGGTTTAGAAAACATACATTTAAAACTATAACTTGTAGTATTTTTGACATTATTGAAATCTAAATATAGAGGTTTTTCTAATTTGACTATACACTTTATGTCTTAAAGGATACACAGCTTAGAAAAATCAAATCACAGCCTACCAGTATCCTTGGTTCTAGTTGAAAACTTAGATCATGAAGACCCTGAAGTAATTGGTCACAGCAGGATCTGTAGAGTGCTTGACGATAACAGTGGATGTTGGATTGAATCGGGTATGTTTGATTTTCTTTACTTCTACAACATAGCCCAAAGAAACAAGCAGCTTGTTGGAATGTTTGGAGAAAATTTAAGAAGTGAAGAAACTGGTAACATATGTACATTGCTTTTGTACTGTGTTATTTAATTTTAGCTTAAGTGTAGTCTTCAGAGCCAGTAATGGGTCAGGACATCATTCATGGAATTGCCCAAGAATGCAACAATCTTTTATCATCTAGATAAAATACCTTAACATTGTGAGGTAAAATAGTTTAAAATTTTTTCGTGAATGAAATCATGTACATGTTTTTTTTAGTTGAATGCTTAACACTGTTAATAATGGAACATTAATCATCCAGGTAAAATAGGATAACATTCTACGGGAAGGATATCATGTATCATCTGAGGAAGCTTAACATTGTGCACATAGGTTGAAGTAGTAGCTTAATAATGTGCATAGCGGCAACTTGCAGCATCTTGGTAATATTACTTAACACTTTGTACAGTTGTAAATTCGTGAGTTTTAATTTTATGAAATAGCTTATTTTTATATACAATATCCACTCAACATTCAGGAGTTATTTCATGTATACTTTCAAAACAGTTTATCTCATCTGTCACTACTTAGTTAAAAGTTAAAAATCTAACAACCTGACAATTAGATATAAATAAATTAGTAAAGGCTAGTTATTGAAAATCATATACAGCTATAATATATAATAATTAAAAAATTAATAGATTTGTAAAAATCTGCATTTAAGTATAGTACTGTATCTTTACTTATGTGTGTGACTAATCTCTTACAATCATTCCTTGTTCACCTCTCCTTTTTCTTGTGTCAGTTCATTTGGGACTATTGAGTTAGTAAGGTTTTTGGAAATTTTGTGAATTTTTTATATTTCTATGACCATTTATGAAACATCTGCTCTGGTGAACTTGGGCTTTTGCAGGCTTGTAAGCAGGATTTTTTAAAGGAGGGATCACTTTGAATTCACCTGTTCCTAAATGATGTATTCAGAAACATATACTTGCCTCTGCTTGACAAAGACTTATTACCTTGCATCAATGCCATGAATGGAGCTTCTGCCCCTACATTAATGTGTACTGCACCAGCCTATATCCTTTCACTGAAAGAGTGAGATACATCCTCCATGTGCAGTAATTCCCATGAGCACTAGCATTGGAACAAAGACTCATTCTTTCCTTGGCACTGGTTTGTTCAGATGTGAGTTTTCTTAGGCATTTTTTAAATTAATATGTTAAAATGTTGAACCTTTTCTTTGTGAGAAAATTTCTTTGGGTGTGTTTTTCATTCTTTGTAATCTTGAGCTGGTGAATCTGGTCACATTTATTTCTTGCTTTTTACAGCCTCATGAAATCACCCAGTTTCTTGTCCCTAGTCCTCTTATAAGATCCAACATCCTTTCTCTCTGAGGGTGGTCATTTCAGGTCTTGGAGGTGACTTGCTTGTTGAACCACCCATCAGCTTTGGTCCAGTAGGAGGTAAACTCTCCCACTTTGTACACCTATGGATTCCCTTTGCTGCAGACAAATGGGTTATTTAGGTTTTTTTTTTATCCTTCCACTCTCCATCTCACCTGATTAGAATGCCATGGAACAATTCCTTGACTCAATTCTGGTGTTTTAACTCCTGTATTTTTGTCATTCCCACAAAGATGGAATCTATGACATCTTGTCATAAATCTGCCCCGCTTGAACCAACATTGGTCTTTCCTTGCTTGGTTAAAGATGGAAAATATTCCCACTCTGTGGTGAGTAGTCTCTCAGGATATGGATGACTCGGATGGAGGTCTAGGATGTTTTTTACACATTCTGATTAGTCTGCCACCTTTTTTGCTTCCTTTAGTACATTAAATTCACGGCCCTTCTCTTTGAGTTGGCTGTGGTTCCATATATTTTCTGTTGAATTTGGTGGACTTTTACTCAAAATTTACCTTCCTGATGCTTATGTTTGTTCTCTACTTGCCACCATCAAGTATGGCTTTGGGAGTGTCTTGTATGGGGTGGCTCCTTAAGCTCTCCAATTCACTCTTGACCCCCACCCTGTATCTTATTCACTTGGGGTGGGGGTCTTTTTCAGTCATACTGGGCAGATTCAGCTTACACATTTATGTCTTTGAGACATGGAGCTTCTAATACCAAAGCTCTTACCTTTCTAATTTCCTGTACAAGAGGATTTGTCTCTTTTGGGGACTCTTTCCTTTTTTGAGTTCTTTGTTCCTCGGGTATATGTTCATACACATCCCCTTCAATGGATTCTGGCCAATCATGCAACATGTCAAGAGATACACTGTCTTTTTTTACCTTTTACTGCAGTAGTAGTTCACTTGACCCCATATGACCTTTGACATATCCTTTCTCCTACCTTGCCTAGACTTGCATTTTTTCAAAAGGCTTTGCTGTAAGTCTGAGGGCTTATAAAAATTAATGCTCACATATGTAGCCTTTCATACACATAGTAGTGCAGCATAGGAGGGCACATTGTGTAGTTTGGTACTTGATGACAACCAAACCTACAAACAGTTTCTGTCAATCATTACCTCTGTTCAGGTGGGGGTGTAGTTCTGGATACTTGACCCATTTCTGTAGTCTAGTCTCCAGGGGAGGAGTGGTTTCTCTAACTTTGTCCTCAAGATGTAGGATGCTCAGCAGGCTCTCCATTACCTTGGACTTGTATGTCTGGGTTTCTTATCATGATCCATTCAGACAACTTCTCTGTTATTATTTCCATCCATCAACAGGGACTTCAGTTCTTCTTTTCCCTAGACTTTCTGTTTTGGGCCCATGACCACCATGTATGGTTATTTGTCTATCTTTTTTCAGGAGCTTAGGCCCTGGTAGCAGATTGTTTGTATTGCCTAGACTGGATCCTTCCCTCAGAGTGGTCATTCCATCCTCTGGTGTTTTCAGTGGATTTGCTTCCACTATGTGAGTCATATCATTGCTGCCTTTTTGACTCTTCTTAATATCTAGCTTCCACCTTTTTGGTCTTTAGCCACAGACTGTAGCACTGGCAGAAGAAGCTCTATATTTTGAGTGGCTCAATCTTATTTTGTGTGACTGCACTCACACCTGGCTAACACCTATTGTTTCTATTCATGGTATTTCATTGCACAGTCTATCAGTATGACACTTTAAATAGATGTGATGTTTCCTCTTTGATCTGAACATGTTTCTGGCATTCCTCCCTGTGCAAATTCCTTCACCTTCTTTGAGTGGAGTAATGGGAGAACCCTAGCTTCCCCAGTCTCAATCCTCTGAGGGCATGGGTATGGAGAGTTCCCCACTGGGTTGGTGTAATTAATCATGTTTCCAGAAGAAAATATATATAATAAGCATATGTGACACCTGTTAATATATAACTTTACAAGAAAAGTGTAAAGGCCTGTATAGAATAAAAAATATAACACTTTTTTGTTAGCTAACATGATTATTCTTGAATTGTATTTTATATCTAGTACAAGATTCTAACTTTTCTTTAGTGAAGTAAAATCTTCTTGACCCTTTCTGATATTCTATAACACAGATTTTATTTCAGACAAAACCTCTCTGCACAACAAAGAGCTATTACTTCATGCCACAGTCATAAGGATTTTTTCACATGCCTCAAATCTAAAATGAAGATCCAACCCCTACACATATTAACATGTATCATGCCAACCTATGATGTAATCATCATTTTACTATAGCTCAACACCAACAGAGGGGCAACACATCTTCCACACATAGTAATCCCCACAAGCAGTAGAATTGCAACAAGGGCTCATTCTTGACAAGGCAAAAAATAATAATTGAAAATAGGGAGGAATAGTGGAGATTGTAGAGGGAGTGAGTATGTATCTGAAAAATATTTTAAGATGAGGAATATGTTCACTTCAGAAACATTTACTCACCTCTCTGCATAACAAAGAGCTAGAGTCACACATTGAGAAGATGGTGGAAGAGCCACTGGTGATAAAGAAATTACAAAGATAATCTCTTTTTCTGAAATCATAGTAATAGAAAGGGATACCCGTGGAGCTTGTTACCTGCTGGGGAGTAACCTTATGGGAGACTGCATCCTTCTCATGCAGGGAATACTCTTTGCTCAGTAAAGGTAATAGAGCAAAATATATTGCAAAAGAACCTTCTTCGTGGTGATAAAATTTTGTATAGGTGGAAAGAATATAAGACTGCTCAATGGCCATTATATCTTACGTAGTCAGCTAAGCATAAGTGTGTAGTGTGGCTAGGACAATAAATTGGGCCGTACCATATTGAAAAAATACTTAAATGAGATATTTAATAGAATAATCAGGTTCAGGGAGAAAGTATCCAGACATGCATCTTTAGGACAACACAATACCCATGTGCCTGGCCTAACCATAAGGAATGGCTTGGTTTGTAGTTGGGTGGCCTGTACTACACTTCAGTCTCATACCTTTGGAATTATGAATCTCAATGATGGGATTTGTTACATAATTGCTTTGCTTGACTTTCAAGTGAAAAATTGTTATGACAGTTACATACACTAGTAGGTGGACATATGTGATGAGTGCTTTAAGATAGAACATCAGTATCTGTATAAATAGATAGTGATAAAAAAATACTTGGAATATACATACGTCAAAATATATGCTTTCAATATTTTTGTGATTAATCTTATAAAAACTACCTTTTTTGATATTTTTACTGTTCATTAATGTGCTAGCTGGAGAACTAAAAAATACATTGCATATTATTTCTCAGCTAATTTGTAAGAAATTACACTTGCTGTAAAAATTAGTGAATTTATTAATATTTGTTCTCTATAATTAATTAAAGTCCCAAATCTAGAAGGAATAGATTGGTGAACTTCTAAAATAATATGATTTATTTAGTATGTGTGATAATGTTCCATTTTTTTATGCTGTTTAACAACAGTTGTAATAAAGAAAAACAGACGAAATCAAGGATTTGGGAAGCTGTTAATGCTGAAGACTGAAGAGTTTGCAAGAAGGTAATAATTTTAAAACAATGATATTTTTTATATAAATTATGGTAGAGTAGTACTAAAAGAGTTTTCTTGTTTGTTTTCATATTATGTTGTTGCTGCTAAATTCCATTAATTCTATACTTTGTAACCACTAGATTAGCAGTTGATCTTAGGAATTGTTAGATAAATCATTTTATTTGAATGGTCTCCATGAAATGTTTTTAACCCTTTGGATGCTATAATCGAACTTATCCGACTAGACATTTATAGCCATTTGGTGCGAGAAGCAGATTTACCCTACAGTGTATTATTATAGTGTGACAATCAGGATACTCGCATGTCCTTGAATTTTCTGCCTTACTATCATGCGTGCATACAACAGAGCAAAAGTGCAACTAGTGGATTTTGATATTGAAAAAGTACTTATAAAAAGAAAAAAAAAGTCAAATTCTAAATTTCATTTGTTAGTGGATAATTGACACTTTTCAAGAACCAACCAAAATTTAATTATGCACTTTAAGGGTTAAGGAACATGGGTTATGGAGATAAAGAAAAATGCTAGAAGTAGATTTCTCGCTGATCCTAAACACTTAATCTCAGATCTCAGGTTGTGAATAAGGAAGCTGTCTTTTATTTGGAGATTTGGAGGCTTTGTTTACCATTAACCCTTGAGCTTTTGGACTTCAACTAAGTTCATCATTAGGTGAAACTTATTAATGTCTATACTCACAAGACAGTACAGTACTCATCAGATGACTCCATTTTATAAAACTAGAAGCAACTTAATTGCTAATTCTACACAATTAATTTCAGGCTTCCGCTTGTGAATGAGCATCTGAATAAAAGAGATCTTGCTCATTCACAAGTTTAGGCATGAGATTAATTGTGCGTGATCAGCAAGCAACTTACTTTTAGTCTTATAAAATTTAGTCGTCTGGTGAGTAAAGGAAAATAATTAAGATAACTTTTCAAGAAGAACAGTGACAAAACTTGTTAATTAAGATTTACCACCTTTACTTTTGAGAAAAATATGTATGTGTGTAAGTCATAAAAGAAAAAAAAATCATACTTGTATTATCAAGCATTTGTTTGCAGTAATCACTGAACTTGCTGACAAGTACATGTAGTGGTGTAATTTGGTTCTCTGGTTTAACAAAATCAAGCCATAGTAATTTTTATTATTTAGTTGCAATTTGAAGTTATTTGAAACTATAGTCTGGAGTAAGAAACTTAATGTTAGGATGAAATACAGTATCTCAGTACCTAACCATTACTGTGGTATCACTAAAATGTCATGCTGATTTCTCATTGATATATTTGGATTGAGCTATTATTTGTCTAGACTAGTAATTTTACTTCTACTTACTTTTCAAGCATAGTTTATTATTTTCAAAGTTGGTTTACTTTTACTTTGTGTAATTATGAAAATATTTGGAATTAAAATTGTAATTACAACGTAAGTAAGCACTGTTGTAAAACAATATTTTACTGTTTTTTTTGTTTTTTTTTACAGACTGGGATTCAAAACAGCTTATCTAAATACTATAGATAAACAAGACTTTTATAAACATTTGGGTTACATATTCTGTGATCCTGTTTCATCTGTAAGTATATATCAGTTTTTGTTTGAACAGCGCTAAAAATATATTACATAACCCATTTTCTGCACTTTTGCCCTCCCTTTATAATGCAATATCACAAAAATGAACCCTCCTCCACCCTAACAGAACTAAGGTTTTAATTATTTAAACTATCCAGAACTGTTTAAACATTTAGCTTTATTGTTAACCATTTACCCAAAGAAAATGGAGAAATATTAAGGATTCACATTCAGAGTTTTATACGTATGATAATTTGAATTTATTATTTACTTTTTTTATAAATCCCTAAATGTTAAAGTGGATCCATTAAATTCGACAAAGATAGTCTGTTTTAATTTTTTTTCCAAATTTTTCAATGATTAAATCAAAAAGAAAATCAAAATTAAAAATATAGTAAAGGTATTATATACTGCATATATATAAATATATGATGAATAAGAACATTTAAGCCTTTATAGTAGGTTTACATTCGGGTGCATTTATGTTTTATAACTATAAAGGTATAAAACTGAAAGATAAAAAAAACTGCAAGAAATAAATTTGTTTAAACATTTAGACAAAGGTAAATGTAAACTGACAGCCCAAAACAGAATGATCTATTTAATCCATTGCAGTCCATATACCTTCTAGCCATTCAGCCATGTTGTTTACAATAGTGATGTCTATCATATCCACTTCCTCTTCTGGAACCCATTCAAACTTCTCGTCATTTTTCAACAAGGAGTTCTTACAAACACATATGACTCTCTCTGTTGTTTTTTTGGTACATGGATCGATCTACATTTCTCCAACAAAGTGTTTTCACCCATTCTTGTGAATCTCCCAGAGATGGTAAAGTGTTGCTTTTAAAGCAAGGTAAAGTCCGTATATGCAACAACAGATTTTTAAGTGCTGACTAACTGAATGGCAAACAAAGTTGTATGTTAACTGTTTGTATGAATGCAGCAAAGCTGGAGTGTTGATGTTGGCCAAATTAATGCTCAGGCATACAAAAAGGGAACAAAAATATATTGTTACCAAACCATGGGTGGAACCTGCTCCAGAGACAGTGGAGGAGGAACAGACTGAATTAGAGCTGTGATTGAGTTTTGTCATGGGTGAACAACAATGTATATCATCACATTTGACTACTTGAAGAAGGTACTGACTTTCTGTAATGTGGACCACACACCAAGCAACATCTTTTTTTATTGAGGTAAAGATAGTTCTGGTCCTGGTTCAAAATACTCAGCTTTCACTAGGTAACTATCAATAACTGTTGAACTCCAAACCTTTGCTAATGTGTCTGCAGAAAACTTGAAGCAGTTGTTATATGCCTCTTTCATTCTTTTGTGACAGCATTTTTATGGAGCAACCTCAAATATGTACCAGTATAGCTCAACATAAATCCTTCTTGCTTTAATTGCTTGTGATCATCCAAGGGTTGGTATGAGTGAATAATCTGATAGCTTCTTCTCATTATCTACAGCATCCACAATAGCAGTGTGAACAATGGCTTGTATCAAGCCTGGTTGGTCTTCATTTAGCGATGGCTTTCTGATACCATTTTGCACACACAACTTCTTTTGAACTTCTGGATTGCTGTGGATTATGTCTTGCAGAGCAGCCTTCCTCTTCTGCTGAATTTTGTTTTTGTCTTTCTGCATTATCTTGCATTTTATTCCATTTTTTCCCTCAACCAATGCATTCTTGGGACGTATCACCTTTGGATCTTTTTATCTTCAAAATACTCAAATGTATACTAAGTAGTAATTTATTCAATTCAGTTTCAAGATAGGACACTTCCTTCTTCTGCATGTGCTGCACTATTGCCTTTTTACCAATAGGTTGAACAACAACATCAAAATTACCAGGTCTACTTGAATCTGTTGTCAAATCTGGACGAGGTTCTGAACTTGTATTACTTGGCTATGCTCCTGGTGTATATAATGAAGGTTTTATCAATGCTTTCTAAGTGGTACCTGTTTAATAATGAGCCTAGTTGATAATGGTAATATGTATATTCAGTGCTTGAAGTGGTGGAAAAGAGGAGGTGGGATGGTTTGTGAAATTTTTGAAATTGAATACCATATTTCTTGTTTTTCATGTGTATTCTTTATTAATTATTAAAAAAGTAACTAAAATGTAAAACATTGGAATCTTATTAGGTTAGATTGGTTAAGATAATGAAAAAATAATAATTATAGTTATAGTATGAAAACTCTGATGGTTACTTTGTGGTTACAAACTTGAACACACCTTTGTCTCATTCCTGCCTCTCTCTGACATAACATTTTAAGAAAAAATACAGTTTCTCTCTAAAGTTCTTTGGTACTGTAAATATTTATTGCATCATCTATTGAACTTTTCCATTCTGAGAAGCTTATGGTTTACTAAAAGGTAGTGGGATGGTTTGAGGCCTTCTCGAAAAGAAGTGGGATGGCATCCTGCCTCATCTTGCCCCACTTCAAGCACTGTTTATATTATAATAATTGAAAATATTAATTCAATAAAGCATGAAGAAATACAAAATTAAATAATAAATTTTAGAATTATTGTAGTTTTAGCAAGTCAAAATTATACAACCAACTAATTATAATATATTTATATTTTATCGTAATATCAATAATATGTTAGGCCATAAATAAATTAGCCTTTATATCATCTGGATATTTGCATAGATATTCAGTTTTTCTTGTTTTGATATGCAAATAATATTTTATGTAAATAGTTTCCTTTCCTTGACACAGAATGAAAGCATAGAAGACTTCATTGTGGTTGGCTAATATTTTAAATGAAGCTCCTTAATTGTACTTGCAGCCCAGGTTCTGAACTTTATGTTTTGTTTTTAGATTCTTCTTTCAGCTTATTCCATAAAGCTATTGTTTCATCCAGCTGCACTTTTTCACTTACATGTTAGTTGTGGCTCTGTTTTCTTGAAGGCTGCTAATAACTCTTCAGATCCCTTAATTTGGTGTGACCATGTGAATTTGCCTTGTGTAATGTGTTTGTGTTCATGTTTGAACACTCAACATAATGACATGAAGCTAGAAGCATGCATTAATTCTGTGTTATTGTTACTTTCATATGTGGTTTTTGAATCTGTTTGTTTCATTCTGCATCCTGTTAATTTACTTTGCTCCTTCCTCAATCTCTTATCTTATATATATATGTCATTTATTTCATGTGATTGGTCATAATTCCCAACCACCTTGACATAAAACTTTTCTTGAATCACAAAACTTTTAAAATAATGAGATTATGTTTGTCGTTTTTAAATAGAATTATTGAAAAAAAAATTCTCTTGCTCTATATGTATTTGAAAAAATCATGAATTATTCTGAAGCATATCAGCATGTAGTTTGTTATATTTGAAGTATTAAAAAAACTCATATGTTTATTGTTCTTAAGCAAATGATTATGATTTTTTTCAGAAATGGAATTGCTTTTTTAGAATCTAAATTTTACTGTTTTAAGTTTTAGATGTTTTGTAAACTTCTAGCAAGGTAATTATAGTTCAACTGTATGGTAAACATTAAGGTTTAAGTTTTGACAAATCTTCTGTTATTAGTAATGGTAATTGTTAATATTACTTTCCTTTGGTCATTTAAAATCACTGCAACATTTAACAAAATGTAAAGACATATCCAGATAGTTGTTGGTTTCATAATATGGTACATAGGTCTACTTATAACCAAGAGTCTCTTTGGTTTACTTTATTCTGTGTTGAGTATCACTTCCTCCTTGTTCATCACTTGTTTCTGCATCTGCAAGATTTGATGTTGGAATATAGCTTAAATTTTAAGAAGTCCACATGTAACAAAATTTCCTCTTGATTTTACACTTGTTGGGGGGAGGTATATGATTTTTGTTAGTGATCAGTTTGAAAACTCTCTTAGTGGAAAAAAAGCTTAAAGGGTTTACGAATTTAAATTTCAGATCTAATAAAGTATAACATTAAGAATAATTTACTTATAAATAGTAAGTCTAGTTAGCAGTAGCATACAGTCAAGACATGCAAATAATGCATTTCATGGCCAGTCAGAAAACTAAGTATGATGATAATACTCTACAATAAAATGTTTTCTCATATTTCATCTTTTTTTTTTCTACAATGTGCTTTTTATGTATACTGTCTTTGTGCTGTTGTTGTGACAGTATTTTTATCTCGTGTTATGCAAGTTCTGCATGCCTAATGTGGCACTTCCAATGGTGCCTTTTTTTTCCAGAGTGACATTGCAGCCATGCCTAAATAATGCAGCTAAAGTCATGTTACATTATAATAGATGACAGCTAGGATATGCATAAAAGGTCAAGGTTGATTATGTTTATATTGTACACTTTGCTTGATTCTGTGATTTATGTGATAAATGCAGCACTACAATAAAGTCTGTTAGGAGAAACTTACTTCACAAGCTTAAAAGTTGTAAGAGCTTTTATGACACTGTGTGTAAACATATATGTTTTTTTTTGCTTTTTTCCTTTCTTGAGGTACTTTGAAATGTTTTTATTGCATGATATAATTGAAAACAGAGGAGTTGCTAGATGCTTAAAAGATTTGGGGCTCAGACCCATAAGTGAGGGAATTTTCGGTGTTTCAGTATAATATCGATTGTGGTTTTCTATTTTGGTTTTTCAAGATACCAACTGGGGACTTTGGAGCACTGTCAAATAGAATTGGGGCACAGGCTCTGTGTGCCAGTGCATAGTGATGCCTGTGCTTGAAAATTCACCATATGCCTTTGCTTATTGGAGATCCTTTACACAAACAAGTGTAAAATATTTTCAAAATTAACCCAATTAAGGTAAAAAATTGTTTGGAAAACTAATTACATTAATTTAATCGTTTTGAAGCACAAACATTCACTGGTGTCATGACTTTAGTAAAAATGGTCTTATATTTAAGTGATAAATTTGTAGGCAGAATTATATCATGAAATGTACTTGGGAGTTTAATGTTACTAATGTTGTTGGTTGTCCTCTTGATCCCTACAGTGTAACAATGAACAATGTTGTACGTAAAGACATTTATGAATACCAAAATAGTTTAGTTCCTCTTACTAACCACATATTTTTAAATGATCAGTAGTTAGAACAGATGAATATTTTATGTAAATTTGTGTAGTCTTAACACTGATATTTTAACTGTTGGCATCCTTAATAGGACCTCCACCTAGAATTGGGTTTGAATAACTTTACCTTAATAATAGCCTGGACTGTGCTTGATATTGACAGCAAAAGAATTCTGGAAGTTTCTTGCTGATAGTTAGCTTCTTGTCTGCTGTTGGTTTGTAGATGTAGGCAGTGGTGAAGTTTAAGTTTATCTGAGAGATATCAAGTGGGATTGGAAACTGGTGATTGTGCTGGTTAGGGGAGGTGATTTGAAATCATTGGCTTGTTCCTTGAACTGTAGGGATAGGGATTAGATTTAAAAAAGAAAATTAAGCAATTCAAATGGGCTTATGAGAAACAGTTGGCTGATAATGTTAAAATTAACAGCAAGGATTTTATATTTTAAGTTTAATAAAAGTAAGCAAAATATTAGAATGAGATTGAGCCAATGGCAAGATTATCATTGAGGACTATGAGGTGGCTAAGCTTTTACATGTTTGTTTCTCATGCTTTTATAAGAGAAGATATTAGCAATATTCCTGACTCTGAGCATTCTATGGGAAGTTTTGTAATTAACCTGAATTATGTAGACATTATTCTCTTGTAAGTAGAAAGAATGGGAAATTTAAAGTAGATAAACCATCAGAGCCAAGCATTGTTTCCCAAGGTCTTAAAAGAGGTTAAAGATCAGGTGTGTGAGTCTCTCTCTCTCTCACTAATTTTTTGTAAGTCAATAGAGAGTGGTGAGGTGCCTGAAGATTGAAGAGTTGTGTATTTTTAAAGATGATAAAGAGTTGTTTTGAAAATTAAAAGCCAGTTAGCCTTACTTCTGTAATGGGAAAAATACCAAAAAGTCTGATGAAAGAGTCTTTAGAAACTTGTTTAGTGAAATGTGATATAAAAGAAAGCCAAAATGGATTCAGCAAAGGGAAATCTTGCCTTAGTAATCTCTTATCTTTTTTTTTAGGACATAATTTGTAATTTGAATGAGGAAAAGAGTGTGGACATGGTATACTTAGATTTTTAAAAAGATTTTGATAAAGTACACCATGAAAGATTAGCTAATAAAATCCAATTGGTAGTGGTAGGGAAATTGGATTGTAGGTTAGTTGGATGTGAGAAAGTAAAAGGTTGTTACTAATGGAGCTTACACCTCAGGGGTAAGTACATGTGTCTTTGCTTTTTCTTATTTCATTAATGGTGTTGATAGGGACATAATTACTAAATTAGGAAAGTTTGCTGATAGCAGGGAAAGTTTTGGCATTTCTATCTGTATGGAGGATGATGAGTTATTACGGAATAGCTTGAATAAACTGGTAAATTGGAAAAGTGTTTGACAAATTACCTTTAATTATAACAAGTACAAGATTATGCATTTGGAGTATCATAATTTGGATTGCACATTTAATGTAGGTGGGAACCAATGCAATTGTGTGACTCCAGGAAAAGATTTTTGCAGAGTGGTGGGTAAGTCACTCAAAACTGTTGAAGCAGTGCTCTGTTGCTAGCGGTAAATCCAATAGATTTTTAGGGTTATTTATAAACATATTGATTATGAATCAAATCACTAATTAGGCCTCACTTGGAATACTGTGTACAGTTTTGGTCTCTGTATCTAAGAATGGATATTGACTTATTGGTAGGGGCTCAGAGAAATGCTACTAGGATGATCCTGAAGATGGAAGGGTTAACTTACAGAGATAGGTTCAGTTCTCTTAACTTATTTTCTCTTAAGAAAAGAAGTGTAAAAGGTGATCATATTATATGAGGGATTGATAGGATAAAGGCCTAAGATTTATTTGTACTATACTCTGTAGGTAATAGGATGAGAGGACAGAAGTTTAAGATTTGGAAAGACAGGCTTCAGTTAAGACAATTTTATTTTTCTAACAGGGTGATTGACTTACGGAACTAATTACAATCAGTAATATTGGAGGCCAGGTTTTTATAGGAGTTTAAGAGGGGAATTGATGAACTGCTGAAAAGTGGGTGTGCAGGGAGGGCTTTGAAGGACCAAATAGTTCCTTGTTGTCCATAGTTTATGTTATGTTATTTTGATCATATAAATATGATGAATCATTACATTATTGTTTTGTAACAGTCCTTGTCTGTCAGAATTTAAGTATAATACATTGATGTAGGGATATCTCAGCACTAATGTTCAGCTTTGAGCAGTTTTGTGTTAAAGAACATCAACTATGTGAAAATAAAAGATTTTCCTGATAAAGGACAGTATCTTTACTATGATTTTAAAAAATAAGACTACATTTGCTTATGTGAATATGTGGTGTGTTCTACAGATGTGTACAAGTGGGTCCTAATAAAGTAGTTAACTCATTGCACTTACTGTTATGGTTTTAGAAATAACTTGAAACTTTTATAGGTTCACTATACATGTTTTTCTGGTCACAATGTTTTACATCATTGAAATGCAACAAAAAAAGTTATTTCTTATTGGTTAGGTACAGAAAGTTTGTAGGGTTAGAAATATCAAAACCATTAAATACCATATTTTTTTCTTATTAGGATGGAGGAAATGTTAGCAGATACTTTGTTGAGAAGATGAGAGAGAAGATTGGATCTCCTTTAGATGGTAGTAATTGTATTAAGAAATGGCAAACATTAAAACACAGCATTGATGATGAATCATTTACAAACAGAGAACAAACATTAAGTAAAGAAGTATCAACATATCCATCATCAGTTCCCACATTATCTTCTCCTGTTTCAGTATTAGTTTCAGCAGTTGTCCCACCACCCCCACCTCCTCCAGTTATAGGTGTCAAGAAGGATTTTCACTCTAGTGCCAAAACTTCAGAAAACATTACAGCTCAGCATCTTAATAGTAAAAGAACTTGGATGAAGAAATCTCTGTAATGTAGTGGAGAGGTGTGGGTTGATATTTTCATGGTACAAAATTATTAACTAACTACTGTACTTCCAAGAATATTGGAGTAAAATATTTATGAGGAATTGTTTTTTTGGGAGAGTTAACCATCAAAAATTTGGAGTGGGATAATAGCAGTGTTGATCTTATTTGTTTTGGAGAAAGAGCATGAAAAAAAGTATTTGTTATAAAAGATACTGGATTGTTAAATGGTAAGGAATTATTGATACTGCATATGCAGAGTCACATTTAAGAGTTGATTTTTTTTTTCTACTGCAGCTGATTATTTTATGTTAAAACATTGCTTAGTACAATATGAACTATAGAATGTAAAGGTATATTTTAGTTGTTTTTTTTGCTTTTTATGTGCTTATTTTAAAAGAAATATGCCAATTTCTAAACACATTGATGTGGATAAAATAAACTGACATTTTAGCATCTGAAAGAAACTGTTTTGTAAGTTTAGTGGTATAATCTTTCTACAAACCTCTGAATCAAGGACAATATCACATAGAATAACTCTACTATGGTTTTAAGAATTAGGCAACATTGCATTGTCACATAGTTTTTAAAAGTAACTTATTGTGGTTTCATAAAATTTAAATTTGAGTCATTGGTTCAATTATAACTACTCATGTGGCAAGTTGACAGCCATTGCAAGTGTATTTAATATTAGAAGAAATTTTATTTTGTTTTGTTGTTATTTCCAAAAACTTAAAAGAAAAATCAGAAATATGGAAAAATGTGTAAAATTTGAAATTATAATAGATATTAGAAACAATTCTATTTTGTTTTTCACATAAATTTTCTTTTACCGTTACATGTTAATGAACTTATTCATATTTATAATATATTATTTTTGTGACAGTTGAAGTCAAACTACATTAAAAACTTGATAGAATCAAACATTTAGACCTTGTAATTTTTGTATTTTAATCATAATTCTAGGTTTATACTTTAAATGCTGGGTTATGTATCTAATTATAAATCTGCCTATAGTGTTTGAAGACCAGAATCAATAAAGTTTTATATTAAGTCTCTGTTGTAGCATTTATTAGACAATCAGTCGCTACTACTTCCGTACTGAAATCAAACCTTTCCATATGTAGCTAGTTTCAAACATTTCAGTTTTCAAAAATAGCAGCTTCATGCAAAAAATCTCTTGCAAGACACAGCATAAGGTCTGAAGCTAATCTATTAGAAACAGAATTGTTTTTGTGCAAAGATTTCTTTGAGCAGTTAATACTAGAATACAATGCTTGATCCCTGTGGGAAACAAAGTGTTGATATTTTATTGCACAGCTTTGTGCTAGGGAAAATTTAATGAACCAAAAGATTTTTCTTCAAAATAATAAGGAAAATGTAAAACAAAATGAGTTAAATTGTGGATTTAAAAATTAACACAAAAATTAGTGTTTTTTTGAAACAATAGTAGGCCTATCCTGAATTTCTTTCATGTAACAATTTTCAGTGTTTTGCCTAATATTACCTCTAAGTTGCTATTAGATGGCATTTGTTTTTTCCAATGTAGGAGGCCTTACAGTCTCCACAGGTGTAAATATATCTACCCAGACCTCCAACTATACCCAAACTCTTGTCTTCCATACATTGGTAAACGAAGCTTAACTTTAACTTTGATTTCAGATTAGTTTTTAAACTCGCATCCCACATACAGAATTTTTTTCCTTACTAAAGTTGCTATTAATTTTCTTTGAAGTCTTTAATGTAACATTCATAATGTTGAGGAGGGATTTCATATAAACTTGTAAAAATGCATTTTTTCTACAGTCTACAAAAGTTTATACATATAAAAGCCCAGTAGCAAATTTTCTAAAACGTTAAGTTAGAATAAGTTCAAGAGTGGCCTTTTAATCAAAAAATGTTTCCGATATGATATCTTACTTTCTCTCACAAATAGCTTTTCTCTACTTATACTGCCCACGATATGCACAAATTTTTGCTTGCTTTATACTCTCACCTACCCTTACGTGTATTCACGTGTGACATCTGCATGTTATAATGCAAATAAGCCTCCACCAATAAGGATGTGATACAACTCCTATTGTCACTAGGGCCCTCTCTTCCATGCAGCCTGTAATCACTTCTCGATTGGCAGTGTCACTGACAGGAAGATTTTCACTGATGTTTTCGAACTGCATTTTTACTTAATTGATTAAGTTTACTTTTTATTTATTTGACTGCATAGTTTTTGTTTCCCACCGTAATTGTTTGAATTTTTATGGTTTTGTGAGTTCTGTTTGGAGAACAATTTTTCTTCTTCATTTTCTTTGCAGGGGCCTTGTAGCATACTTGGATCACACTCAATGGTGAGTGTTGCCTGACCAGGTATACTTATTCTGAAATCTGCACTGTGCGACCTGTGTGTCATATATGCCTATCATTGAGATGGGGTGGTCCACAAGACCACTTGTAGGTATGCCTCACAGTATTTTGTTTCTTAAAGATATTTGCCCTGGACATTACACTCGTGGACTAACGTGAGTAAATCAGAGTGGAATTACTGCCCATCCCTGATGATCCATGTATTTTAGATTACTGGATCGACCTGCTTTTCAAAATAAGGTATTATGACCACCCATTGCACCTTCTCTGGGGAAGCATTCCTCTGGACTCTCCAACATGCTGTTTACCCCTTCTTCTAGTGGAGCATAGGAGTCCTTGCCACTTACCAGTTCTTAGCTGCTGGGGTGGTGGACCATGTAGGCTTCCTCCTGAGTGTGTTCACTCCCACTCAGTTGAGAGTTGGATGATGATGTTCTGTAGGAGTAGATGGTGTTGATGCTCATTCTACCGTGGATCTCATGTACAATTCCAGATGCTACCAGGTGATGGACGATGCATTCCACCAACATGTAGTTCGCCCCTGCAGTTGTGGCACTCTCCTTCCTACTGTCTCCCGGATGTCGGTTCCTGGCAGATATGGTGATGGTTGGAGCTAGATCAGCCACATAAGTCGTCACATGTGTGTGGACTGGAGATGCACCCCCACTTTGCTGTCTACCTTCCTACCATCTCCCAGATGTCGGTGATAGTTGTGTTGGATGTGCACACATGATTATGCAGAGAGGGGGTCCCTCTTGTGATTCCACCCTTTTTGCGACATATTTTCACAAGGGGGAAAAGTATACCTGGTTCAAGAGTGGTGCGATCACCCACAGGGTGTTGCCTTTCATTTATTTGAACACTCCATCCATGGTCTTCCTCTGGGCACTTTCTAAAGGAGGATAATCTTCTCACCTGACCCTCTGATAACTCAATGTGGGATTCTAAGATATCATATCAGAAGTTAACATTTCCCTACACCGAAGATGTATTTCTGGTAGACTCTTACCTCCTTTCACATTTCTCATTCGACCTCCCCACTTCTGTTGCAGGTTGTTTATGTACTGCCCAATCTTGAAGTGATTATGGGTTGCACAGACGAGAAGGCGCTAGTGACGATAGGAATTGTATTGCACTCCTATTAGTGGAGGGTTTATGCATGATAGCATGCAGATTTCTCACTGATTTGATGTGAGGGTATGTGAGAGTATCAAGGCTATGGCAAGAAAGGGTGGTATAAGTCAAGAAAAATTATTTGTGACAGGAGGTAAGTATCTATTTGAAATACATTTTCAGTGTAGGAAAATATTAACTTTCTTCACTTGGTCTTCTGTTTTATAAAAAAAAAGTTTCTCACCATATTCTGTGAGATATGACAATCCTAGGAGAAGTGATGTCTTTGTATGGCATTCTGGTTAAGAAAATGCTCCTTAATGATTATTTTGAGGTATGAAGTTCTTCAGAGAATAATGTTTCTCTGTGGTTTTCTGGTTAAGAAAGTTGTTTTCAAAAATTGCTTTGATGTAACATTTGTCAGAGAAGTGATGTTTGTTACTGTAACATGATATTTTGAAAACTGGTGTCCCTGTGCAATTTTCTGATTGAGAGGTATTCCTCACCCATCACTGTAAGGTATGGCATTAACCAGAGAAGTGATGTCCATGTGGTCTCCTTAAGAAGAAAGTGTTCCTCACCTATCACTGTGACATACAACACTGATCAGAGAAGTGATGTCCATGTGTGGTCTCCTTGAGAAGAAAGTAGTTCCTCACCTATCACTGTGACATACAACACTGATCAGAGAAGTGATGTCCATGTGTGGTCTCCTTGAGAAGAAAGTATTCCTCACCTATCACTGTGACATACAACACTGATCAGAGAAGTGATGTCCCTGTGTGGTCTCCTGGATAAGAAAGTGTTCTTCACCCACCACTGTGACATATGACACTGTTCAGAGAAGTGATGTCTCTGTGTGATCTCCATGTTAAAAAAAAAAGTGTTCCTCACACACAACTGTAACATATGCCACTGTTCAGAGAAGTGATACTCCTTTGTGGTCTCATGGATAAAATGTGTGCTTTTCATTTATCATGATAAATATCATGTTCTCTTCATTGTTTTACCCCAAGGATTGTTTCAGAAGCATTGCATTGAAACATTTCACTGCCCATCTGAAAGCTATTTTTGTGTTCAATATTTACTTTAAATGGAATTGTGTTCAGCCTTATTGATCTTTTCAACAGATATGGGGCAATATTAAGATAATTTTCTAATTTGAGTACAGTTCTATTTATCTGGACTGTATGACCATTACATAGATGACATTTCAGAACTTGTTCTGTTCTTTCAGTTTTATTACAGAGAAGTCAATAAAGAATTATTTAATTTTTCATGGTATTGTCTTTTTAACTTTTGTAACAGACCCTCTACTTGACAATGACATGGTTGGATAAATGGGGAGGGACTTGCTATAGTTTGAATTGTATGCAAGTATTATCATACTAATTTATTATACATTTTATCATACTTTGTGCATTTTATTTTGAATAATAAGTTCATGATTTTCTATGTATTAGTGAACTCGTGGCAATGGAAATTTTATATGATAGTCTTTCATTTGCTGTGTATTTTCATACCTTGATGTTAGGGGTTGTTGGCATGATGAAATTTGATAATTCAAGGAAATTTAACATGACTTGCTGATTGAAAGATAATTATGTTCAGGTAGAACATAGAAATGAAAGGTAATTTGTAACATTTTTCCATAGCTTTGATATTAGACAGTAAAAGTAACATTTTAAGATTAAAACAAACAAACTTGTTTAAAGGAAATGTTATTTGATGTTTTACGTTTTTTTGCATGACTCATGTAAATAGTAAAAGGGTGTCACAATCATAAGTTAAATATCAAACTTTGGTTATGGTAGTATTTTACTTATGCAACTGTCATTGTATTAAGGTGTGAATGTGATAATAGACAATTTTCTGGGACAAGTCTCTCACAGGAAGATTTTAACTGTAAACCAAAGTGTAGATTATATAAAATTATTAAAATATTGTTAGTGACATTGCGTTTATTGCTTACTGGTTGAAATTTACACAAGTGTTTGTTCTAAGTTTTCCATATTCTCTATTTTAAGTTCACTATGGTACTGAAGAAAATTAGACTTTTTCATCTTTGTAAACTTTGCATTCAATTATTGAAATCTTATATTTTCTGTTAATATGGATTTAAATTCTGACACAGAATGAAATACAACTAAATTTTGAATTTTAATAAAACCCACATGTACTTTTCAGAATGGAACTGTTGAGATTGAGGGTAACATTACTGAACAATGTTATTGGATGGTTACTCCATGTTTAAAATAACTTGTACATGATAATAATTCCTGTTGATAAAATACAAGTTATCTGAGGACAAATTGTCTTGAAAATAATTAGATTGTAAAAACTATATTGATAAAAAAAGCTAGTATTTAATCTTCTTCATTTGAATTGGAACCAAACTTTGTGACTGTTGAATGTTAAGTGAAGATGAAATGAAGTAATTTTACTTTTCCAAGACAAAAACAATGTAGAATAATCAACATCTGTTATTTCAAAGTATTTAACTGCTTTGTCACCTTAACTGTAACTTCTGTATACTTGTGACACAGTTGACTTGATATAAATGTGTCTACTCATGTAAAAGATGTTTATAAAGTAGAATGTACTGTATAAAAGCAGGGATTAAATTGGGGCAGAATGGTTTGGAATGGCATTATGCCTCTAAAGGAATCAAGACATGGATGAAGGAATGGTAAATAAATTACTTAAATTTGCAGATGATATTAAGGTCTTTGGGATTGCTAGCTGTGAAGAGTATGCTGCTGATTTACAAAAG